TTTTAGGAGTTCGTGTTAAGAATAGGCAGTTTGCCTGAAGTTTGCCAGCGAAGTAAGCTGTGGCAAACTGGGCACAGCTATTTAGGGAAGAAATAGCTGGGTTTTCTATTTGTAACAAAGAAAGAACCATTCTCATGCAACCGTTACGCTTTCAAGAACCAAAACATTTTATCTGTAACAGCCAAGCCTATTAAACAGCATTTACACTTTCTTCTGTACTATATTAAATAAACTTTCCTTGTTCTTTTGAAACTTAAAAGCCTGAGTCCAGTGTACATTTGTGGATTTAGTCCATTTTCCTTTCCATTCCACCTCACCTGTTTTCTTTCAGAGAAGCCGTTTAAAAGACACAGTACTTGGTGGATTAAAAAGCCTTTTTAATAATTTAACCAGCTAGAGGGTTCCTGTTCATGTAGTTTGTGGTGGCAGCGGAAGTTAATTAGTGAGACAATCCCCTCAAACGTTCTATTGGTGCCAAAGTGGTGTAAATTCTTTATATTGGAGGGACAGTGGTGGGATCTGTTTGCCCCCTGTCCAGTTATATTGTTTGGCCACACGACGTGCCTTTATACCCTACACCACTGGAGAAATTATACTGTTTAACCGATACTGATATCCATCGCAAAGTAACAGCCTGTAATGAAAGAACCAAGGCATCAACATCTCCAGCTCTGTTCAGATATCAGCCAGCAAACCAATGACTTAAATCAAGAAACAGCTTCCTAAGATCCACAGAGATATTCACATGAACACCTCAGCAAGCGAGAGTCCAAAAGTGGCAGGTTAAAACACAGAACCTCAATCAGTGGCTGAGACCGGATGAGAGACTCCTTCCTGGCACAAAGAAGACTGGGTGTTTTGGAAGGCACAGAACAGACTGTGCTCTTGCACCACGAGATGCAGAGCTAACCCTAAGAAATGGGACTACAAAGTAGAGCCCACAACATGCGAGTATGGAGAAGAGCAAACCACAGACCACTTACTACAATGCAGCCTGAGCCCTGCCACATGCACAATGAAGACCTTCTCACAGCAACACCAGAGGCTCTCCAAGTTGTCAAATGAAAATTTAGTATAATGCCAAGTTTTTAACTTTGTTTGTGGCTTTTCTATACATGATAACTGTATTCTCAATTTGCTTCTGACACGATAAATAAAGCATTCAGTAAATTTATAGTGTGAAGGGGACTTTTAAATCAGTCTACAGGAGATCTTACCTGGGGCTCTATCATCCAGCCGTTATACCTCTGACCCTTGCCAGGTTTGCACTTGTAAGCGGAGTATATGGGAATGCGTTTCTCTGTGTCGTACATGGTGGCGTAACGGTAGATGTTCTTGTAAAACTGGCAGATCCTGGCAGGGTTGGAGGGCGTCAGGGACGCATCTGGGGGAGTCTTGTCCAGGAAGAACCCGAGGCAGTTTTTAAAGTCTTGCAACACTTCTGCCTCGGCAGGAATGGAAGAATAGGCTGCCACAAAGAGCAGGGCCAGCATCAACATTGCTGTTTGTGCCACAGAATGTTGTGTCTGAAAGATAGACAATGATTATGGAAATTATTCCAACATCCTAGGGATGCATTTACACCAGCAAACTTCAGCCCTCCAGGCGTTTTGGACTTCAACTCCCACAATTCCTAACAGCCGGTAGGCTGTTAGGAATTGTGGGAGTTGAAGTCCAAAATGCCTGGAGGGCTGAAGTTTGCCCATGTCTGCTCAAAAGACTATCTAGTCTTACCCCCAAACAGTGCAAAAATCCATAGTCAAAATATCCCTGACCTCCCAAAGCAATTCATTCATAAAAGTACAAGCTCAGTATCTGTTTGAATACTGACTACTCAGGGGTGCATATTAAACAGTTATACAGCTATTATTCCAGTTTAACTGTCATGGCAACATCCTTTGGAATTCTGGAGCTTGTAGTTTGCATGAACTCTCTGGTTAAGAAGTACAATTTCCAAATACACGAGGGATATGTTCCCGGATACCCAAGACTGCTCATAAAAGAAAATGTTATATTTGACTATTTTCTGATCAGAAACATCTCATAGTATAGCTCTGTCATGTACATTTACAAGGCTTTTAGCCTTCTCTGTTGAAAAGAAAACTACAAATCCCAGGATTCCATAGGACTGAGCCATGGATGATGAAGTGGTGTCAAACTGCATTAATTCTCTAGTGTAGACTATTTTTTGACCAGAAGCGTCTCATAGTACAGCTCTGTCATGTACGTTTACAAGGCTTTTAGCCTTCTCTTTTGAAAAGAAAACTACAAATTCCAGGATAGGACTGAGCCATGGAAGATGAAGTGTTGTCAAACTGCATTAATTCTCTAGTGTAGACTATTTTTTGACCAGAAGCATCTCATAGTACAGCTCTGTCATGTATGTTTACAAGGCTTTTAGCCTTCTCTGTTGAAAAGAAAACTACAAATCCCAGGATAGGACTGAGCCATGGAAGATGAAGTGGTGCCAAACTGCATTAATTCTCTAGTGTAGATGCACCCAATGTATAAGCTAGAGGAAATTATAATGGCATAGAGCAGAATCATCTATGTTGAAACCTGGTCACCTTACAAAAATAGTTGCATCATCAAAGATGTCCAAGATATCCCATCCTTGCCACTAAATCTTATAGCCAGATGTTACATGTTGGCTTAGAAGTTGAAAGCATAAGGCATGGCTTGGAGTCATCCTAGGAGAACCAGGCCTTTTGTAGTTCAGGACTTACCTTAAACCTTGGAAATTTCACTCCAGAGAAGGAAGAACCTACAAGGCAGCAACAGAGAAAAGTAACAAAGCAACAGAACGCTTCCAGTTTGTTAGAGATGTTGGATCTGACACTGGAGGCGGAACATCTGATGAATTACCGTAGCTCTTCTTTCGGGGATCTTTTAAAGAAGCGTTCAAGTACCCATCACCCCCCTGGCAGTGAAAGGGGCAGATAGGGTGAAGAAATGCATTTGTTTGGATGAAAGGTGTTGAAAACAATAGATGGAGTGATAGGCCTCTATCTAAAACGACTTGTCCAAAATTAGCATTTCTATCTGGAAGACTTTGAGAACAGAAATCACCACTTGAATTCCTGCATAAAAGATACTGATGAGAGAAAGCAAGGAAAAGGCATGGTAGGATTTATTGGGAAGTGAGCATTTTGTGCAGAAAGCTCCCCCTCATTTTTCATATCATATTTATGCTTAAAATATTATTACATGTATGTGTTTAATATATAATTTTTATATATTATATATTATAATTTTTATATAAAGCCCTGTGTGGAACAACACAGGGAGCTGGGTAGGTTTAGCTTGGAGAAGAGACACCTGGGAGGTAACATGATGACAACCATCTGAAGGGATGGAACAAGCTTGTTTGCTGCTGGTGTCCCACCTCAATATTAAAAAACATGAAATGCAAAGATACAGAATGGGGAGCAATGCCTGGCTCGAAAGCAGTACATGTGTAAAATATCTTGTGGACAACAAGTTAGACATGAGCCATCAATGTCATGGGGCTAAAAAAGCCAATATTGCCTAGATCCAGGGAAGTCATTCTGCCTTGATCAGATCACACCTGGAATACTGTGTCCAATTCTGGGCACCACAGCTGAAGGGAGATGTTGACAAGCTGGAATTTATCCAGAGGAGGGCAACTAAAATGATCAAGGATCTGGAGAACAAACCTTATGAGGAGCGGCTTAAAGAGCTGGGCATGTTTAGCCTTCAGAAGAGAAGGCTGAGAGGAGACATGATGAGGGCCATGGATCAAGATGGGAGGGGAAGTCATAGGAAGCAGGGAGGAGCCCTGGAGACTAGGAGATGGAACAATGGCTTCAAACCTCAGAAAAGGAGATTCCATCTGAACATTAGGAAGAACTTCCTAACTCTGAGAACTTTTCAGCAGTGGAACTCTCTGCCCTGGAGTGTGGTGGAGGCTCCTTCTTTGAAGGCTTTTCTACAGAGGCTGGATGGCCATCTGTCGAGAGTGTTTTGAATGCAATTTTCCTGCTTCTTGGCAGGGGGTTGGACTGGATGGCCCACGGGGTTTCTTCCAACTCTAGGATTCTGATATCCTTTCAGATAGTTGAACATGGCTATAATGTCCCTTCTAATCCTCTTCTCTAGGTTAAATCTTCCCTGCTCTCCAAGTGATCTCCTTCAGAGATCCCTGGTTTTTCAATCTTTGACCAATTCGGTTGCCCATGTTCCAGCTTGTCCATATCCTTCTTGAATTGTTGTGCCCAGAACTGGAGATAGTATTCTGTCAGGTGAAGAATAGAGTGGTACTACTACTTTCTTTGATTTAGACACTAGACTCCTCTTGTGATGCAGCAGCCTAGAATCGCATTTGCCTTTATAGTTGCTGTATCACACTGCTGACAAATGTTCAGCATGTGGTCTACTAAGACCCCTAGATTCCTTTCACATGAACTGTTTTCAAGTTTGGTGTCACCCATCCTCTCTATCTGTCTATTTCATTTTATTCCTGCTCAAATGTAGTACCTTACAATTAGCCCTGCTGAAATTTGTTTTGTTGATCCAATACATTCAAATTACAATAGTTTCCATCCAAATATTTGGATGAACTTTTTGATTGAAAGACTTGCCCAACATTGGCATACACTGCCACGGAGGATAAATGAACACTCCTTCTTTGGAGGCTTTAAACAACATTTTTCAGAAGTGCTTGATTTCCATATTTCAGCATGGCACACTTCTAGGTGTGAGGATCCATTGCACAGCTAAAGAAAAGTGATTGCAGATGAAGGTACTAGATCTCTCCTTGTACAATATTGTAAACAGTCATTTCCAACCCCTGAGGATGCTTGCCACTGATGTGGGTGAAATGTCAGGAGAGAACGCTTCTGGAACATAGCCATACAGTCTGGAAAACTCACAGCCACCCAGTGATTCTAGCCATGAAAGAGTCCAAAAGTTAAAACCAAAAGAGAGTCCAAAAGTTAAAACCCAGAACCTCAATCCATGGCTGGTACCAGATGAGAGACTCCCTCCTGGGCACACAGAAGACTGGGCGACTTGGATGGTGCTGAACTGACTGTGCTATAGCACCACGAGACGCAGAGCCAATCTTAAAAAATGGGGCCACAAAGTGGAATCCACAACATGCGAGTGTGGCGAAGAGCAAACCACAGAACACCTACTATAATGCAGCCCGAGCCCTGCCACATGCACAATGGAGGACCTTCTCACAGTGACAGATGGAAAGGAGATTCCATCTGAATATTCGGAAGAACTTCCTAACTTTGAGAACTTTTCAGCAGTGGAACTCTCTGCCCCAGAGTGTGGTGGAGGCTCCTTCTTAGGAGGCTCCTTCTTAGGAGGCTTTTAAACAGAGGCTGGATGGCCATTTGTCGGGGGTGCTTTGAATGCAATTTTCCTGCTTCTTGGCAGGGGGTTGGACTGGATGGCCCATGACATCTCTTCCAGCTCTATGATTCTATGACACCAGAGGCACTCCAAGTGACCAACTTTTGGTCAAAGGAAATGTAGTATAATATCAAGTTTTTAACTTTGTGTTTTTAAATTCAATATAACTGTATCCCCGATTTGTTTCTGACACTATAAATAAGTTACATTTCATATATATTTTCATATGTGTAGAAGATATATATGGAACATAAATATATTTCCTACTTAGTCTTGGGTCCCATCTTCCAAGATATCTCATTATATACTTATATGCACATACACATATTCTGAAGGCAATATACAGTATTTTGAACAATTGTTTCCATAAAGTTTGTGTACACTGAACTATCAGAGAGCAAAGGGGCCACTATCTAGCCGTCCATGCAAACAATTTTGTATTTTGGACCATTTACAAGTAAAACTTCAGGATACTATAAAACGGAAGTAATAGGAAGACTGGTAACAGTTATTTGTAGAAAGTTTCAAATATTTTTGACTTCTGCCTTCTTGGCGCAAGGATATGAGCCAACAATGTGATGAGCCAACATGAGCCAACAATGTGATGTGGCGGCAAAAAAAGCTAGTGGGATTTTGGCCTGTATCAATAGGAGCATAGTGTCTAGATCTAGGGAAGTAATGCTACCCCTCTATTCTGTTTTGGTTAGACCACATCTGGAATATTGTGTCCAGTTCTGGGCACCACAATTCAAGAGAGATATTGACAAGCTGGAATGTGTCCAGAGGAGGGCGACTAAAATGATCAAGGGTCTGGAGAACAAGCCCTATGAGGAGCGGCTTAAGGAACTGGGCAAGTTTAGCCTGAAGAAGAGAAGGCTGAGAGGGGATATGATAGCCATGTATAAATATGTGAGAGGAAGCCACAGGGAGGAGGGAGCAAGTTTGTTTTCTGCTTCCTTGCAGACTAGGACGCGGAACAATGGCTTCAAACTACAAGAGAGGAGATTCCATCTGAACATGAGGAAGAAGTTCCTGACTGTGAGAGCTGTTCAGAAGTGGAACTCTCTGCCCCGGAGTGTGGTGGAGGCTCCTTCTTTGGAAGCTTTTAAACAGAGGC